CGGAAAGAAGTTGATCCACAATTGTTAGGGTTAACAGCTATGGAGTGGCGAGTGCAAGGTCTTTACATGAAGTAGGCTAAGGACTTTGAACTGTAAGAGTTTGTGATTTTTTTATATACTTTTGTATTTAAATTCGCAGTTCTAAGTTCAATAATTTTGTTCATAATAAAATATGATTTAGTATTTATAAGGAAAACTTTGTGTCATTTGTACGTACTAGTAGTACCACTTTGATAGCTTTAGGCTTATCGTAAGAATTTTGTAATTTCTTTCTTACTATCATTACTTAGTAAGACCCACACTTCTATTGTTGTTTTAATTCAAACATACTAACAGATTTATAAATATTTCATTCTGATATTTTGCAAAGGGGTTAAATAAAGTTAAATTACATAAATTTTATACATAAGTTACAAGTCAAGATAACATATATACAAAAGGAGCATCGATGTATGGATAAACAATGCCTAATTTATAAGTTATGCACTGAGAAGTTGTATGCAAATCATATTTAGATGCAAAAATGAAAACGTAAATTTTTATTCTTGTACGGTTCTTTTATATATGTGTTAAAACTCAATGTACAAGTGACAACAATAAAGCCCATATGTTAGTCGTGAGACAGACTAAACACATTCGTGTCAATAATACCAGGAAAGCTATGACATTCTCACAGTTGGGGTGCTAATACATTGAAGGGCTTAAGTTTCAAATTCCAACATAAATATTGCCTATAATGAGAGGAATGTGACCAGACTAATATTTTAAGTGCTATGAATTGACTTTCTTTGTAATTTATGATGTCTATATCGTTTGGTAATCTCTTCTAACAGGATGTATCAAGGATTAGGCGGTGTTATTGAAACTACCTGTACTGTAAGCTATTACAACCCACTAGTAGTGGCAGGTTTCACTATACCGAGAAACCTAAAACATACAAGGACATGTGTTGAGATAAACTTGTTTGAAAGTTCAAAAAAATGATATTCAAGTACCGAAAAGATTTCTTGTTATCATATCGATAGTAATGTTCAAATGCGTCCGCGCTGGGCTGAACGAGAGCGACCCCCAACAGGGGTGAGATAGTTACGAACAACGTACAAAGGTCACGCTGCTGACCCAACGGGTGCAATGAAACATAGCAACAAACTTGAAATAAAAATATATTTATGAAAGAAAAATAAAATGATTTTATGTACATATATAAACACTAAATCTTAGTTAAAAACAAAAATACTCATTTATTGGTTAGGTTTATTTACAAATATTATTTTTGGGTCTTGTATATTACCGAAACCATAAGGAGAGTATGTGATTATTAAAAAATTAAAAATAGATAAAATTTGCACTTTATGGACGACACAAATTTTTTGGGATTGCAAAATAATGTACTAAAACATAAAAAGTAATCAGTTCAAATTTGGAACAAATATAAATATTGTGATCATTTCTTATAAATACCATTTCCTAACGTAATTTTCCAAGATATTATAGATCATAATGCAAAATAACTAAACTTATCAGAAGTAACAGGCTTTATGTTTCTTAAACTACACACATTTATTAAAGTCATTACGAAGTTTTAAAACTTTTTAACCAGTAGTTTTATTGTTGGAATGACAAATAGCAAGACTTGCATTGGCTACTAAGAAAGTTAGTAGCCGGTAGTCAACGGGTTAATTTAAAGTGACTGTGGAAATTAAGTGTATTGCAAAGCTGTATTGAGGAAGAATTAAAAAAAGGACTTATATCGCTGAAGTTCCTCAGAAATAAATTATACGGGAAATTATCAAACAAGCTGATACGTAACAAATTGGTGTCAGAAGTGGGATCGATAAAAAAAGAAAAGAAAAAACAAAGATGGACACGAGAAGTGCCAAATCAAACTACGACTTAGCAGATTTGACGGCAGCAATACAATAACAGCGAAAGAAACAAGGAGAACGAGAAAATAAACAAAAAGAGAGATTACAGCAGTAGTTGGAAGAAAAAGAAAAGAAACAAGAAGAATGAGAAAATAAACAAGAAGAGAGACTACAGCAGTGGTTGGAGGAGAAAGAAAATAAACAAGAAGAGAGACTACAGCAGGGGTTGGAGGAGAAAGAAAATGAACGAGAAGAGAGACTACAGCAGTGGCAACTGGAACAAGAAAGGAAACAAGAAGTACAAATGGAAAAGCTTAGTAAATTTCAAAGTGAATTAAATACATTAAAGGATAATTTACTGTCTTTAACACAAGGAGGATATATTAGCCATGGACATAATAAGCTTCAGACAATGGGAAGCCTCTTCCAGACCCCGCAGCTAAACACTAATGCAGACATCTTCAGTCCTGTCAGAAGTCACACTCCAGACATAAGTGTCAGCAATAAGGGTGATGTAGTACGAAGGAAGCGACAGGACTTTGATGGGAAGGCACCGTGGGAAACATATAGAGCACAATTTGAGGACCTGCCAGAAATGAATGGATAGACTGAGGAGCAGAAGGCAGCGCACCTGGCAACAAGCTTGAAGGGACAACCACTGGAAATACTTGGACAGTTGTCAGCACTGGTAGCTGCTCTACATCTCAGGTATGGAACCCAAAATCAGTCCGAAGTCTACAGGGCTATGTTTAGGACTAGAGTTTGTGCTAAAGGGGAAAAGACTGCAAGAGCTGGCACAGGACTTAGAAGGTATAGCACACAAGGCCTACCCAACTACACCACCCGATTTCCTCAAGCTGTTGCTGAGGGATCAGTTTCCAGATGCCTTGGACAGTCCACAACTGAAGATACAAGTACAGCAAGCACACCCATCTACTATGCAGGATGCAATGGCCAAAGCTCTTGAATTCGAATCCTACGTTAAGTCCAGCACAGAACTACCAAGGTTGGTACAGTCATCAGGATTCAAGGCCAGAAAAGGGCAGCTTTAAGAGGTGTTTGAGGGACTTTTCTGGCACTGTAACAAACCTGGGCACAAGAGAGCTCAACGTTAGGAACCTTAACACGGGAAAGGTGCCACGGCAGGAAAGGCTGCTACCCAGCGAGGTTGTTGGAACTGTGGAGAGTAAGGACATATGAAGAGCCAGTGTAAGAAGAATACCACCAATAAGTCAGCTTCCAGGAGACCAGTAGTGGTTGGTGTTGAGGGACGCCCACCAAACCCCATTGTGAAAGTTC